GTAAATAACCACCTGCATCCTACTGGTCTCGTATCCTTGGGCAAATCAGACACAATCTACGTTCCACTCTTTTCTAGTGCAACAACTTCTTCATTCAAAGCTTTTCTCCATTCCGGGTGTGAGAGAGCTTCCTAAATAGAATTCGAAACTTTTATGCTGTCAATAACAAGTACAAATGCATAGGGAGAAGATAACCTCTCATATAAAACAAATCGGGCAATAGGATGTTGAGTGCAAGGAACATCAGAATCATCTTGCACAGGCGGGGTAAGCTTATAATCACTAGTGTCTATAGATTACGTACCTGAGTAAGTTTCAGAGGGTTTTGGAGCCGAATTAGATGCTTGGACAGCAGCTGGAAGCGGTGTTAGGTTCTCTATTCTTTCAGTAGTTCTGTTTCGTCTTGCATAGACCCGAAGTTCCTGAGGAGTGGGTTGTGCAGACTGAGGAGGTTGAATAGGAGAAGGTGTGGGGTGGGTGAGACTGAGGAGGTTGAATAGGATATGGAGGAGGTTTGACAGTCGGTGAGGGACTCGTGTCAGTTGGTAAAAGAACACAGGGTTGTTGTTCACTACGACTCTCCCTCTAAATGACAGACTCTTGGTAGTATAATTGATGCTAAAAAAAGGTGACATCCATATAATTATATACCTTTTTAGTTGAAGGACAATAACACTTGTAGCCTTTTTTTTTGGTCGAATACTCTATGAATATGCGTTTGACAGATTTGGGGTCTAATTTACTACGGTATTGTTTGTGAATATGAACAAAGACGGAGCAACCAAATGGTTTGGTAGGGACAACTGAAGAGAGTGTATAGGTATTTGGAAAAGAGCGAATGAGGACATCAATTGGACAACGGAAACCGAGAATACGAGAGAGCATCCGATTTATGAGGTAGGCAACGATCAATGTTGTCTCGCCCCAATAATATTTAGGGACCGATGTGGTAAACATGAGACAACGGACTACCTCCAACAAGTGACGATTTTTCCGCTCGGCAATCCCATTTTGTTGGGGAGTATCAACACACGTGCTAAGGTGAAGGATGTCATGTTGAGTAAGAAAAGTTCTTAAGGAGGTGTTGAAAAAATTTCGTGCATTATCTGTTTTGAGAGCTTAGATTTTTGTGTTAAATTGAGTGAATATCATTTGATAGAATGCACGAAATATTGGTCCTACCTCCGATTTGTCACGCATAAGATAGATCTATGTCACCCGTGTGTGATTATCAATCAAGGACACAAACCATTGGGCTCCAGAAATATTTTTTTCACAGGAATGACCCTAGATGTCATCATGGATCAGAGAAAAGAGACGAGTGAGTTTGTATGATAATCGAGGAAATGAAGTACGAGTGTGTTTGACAAGTTGACAAAATTCGCAATTAAAAGAGATAGGACTTTTATTAATAAATAAATGAGGAAACAGTTTCCCCAAGTACATAAAATTGGGATGACCTAAACGATAATGAAGTACATGAATTTCACTCTCATTATTAACGACATGATTTCACTATCATTATTAACGCTAGATGTACTAAGCGGATTTAAGCACGGATTTAAGCAAGACAGACTTAATACTGGAATGCAACCGGTGGAAGAAACTAGACTGACAGAGGGTTTGTTGAGGAGATAGAGACCACTGCGTAACTCAGCACTTAACTCAGCACTGCCAAGCAACTCAACACTGCCAATTATCCTCCCCGACTTCAGATCCTAAAATTCACAAACATATGAAAAAATTTAGCAACACAATGACAATCATAAGTAAGCTTACCAATAGAGATCAGATTGCAATCCAGAGTAGGAACATGAAGCACAAAAGGAAGCACAAAAGTGAGGATTAAATCTGGAGAGATGCAGACAGAACCAAGACAAGCAACTTTGGAGGCTGATCCATCAACAATCCGAACAGTGAGGGTCGGATT